CTTTAGCTCTGTCTTTTTGCTGTAGCTTCATTTCACTGCCAAATTCTGGAGCCCGTATAAAAAATAATTTGCATTAACTCACAAACCTACTTCCTATTCCTCTAAATGGTATAAAACATGAATTAGGATTTTTCTTTTTAAGAAAAACCTGTTAATTTAATTTCTCCTCATATACCAGATGTTAGACCCTGGCTCTCTAGAATCCCATCACTATTTATTCACCATGCAGCTGATGTCTATATAAGTTTTTTTTTCTCCGTGGTGCGAATGTGTTTACAGAGGAATCCTCTGGAGTCACAGCGGACTTCAGGGGCTGCAGAAGCTCCTGGTTTCAGCCCCTTCATAGGTTTTAATAACTCTTAATCCGTCTGATCGGTCTGGCGTAGATAAGTCTCATTTGAATTGGGATTGTTCTTCAGGAGGAGTCTCAAACGGAGCTTAGCGCAAACAACTGCACCACCCTGAGCGCAATTAAGGCCTCAGCTAAATGAGAGCGAGGCTTAATTGAATGCGGCCGAGTTCCCATCAGCAAACTCTTAAACGCTGCTCTAATGTGAGGAAAAGCGTTCAGGTCATAATCACGTTTAGTTTACAAGACAAAGTGTTTTCTGTAAAATACATTTCTCTCAGGGATAAATCAGCCGAACTCAGGACTTACATTTGTATAATTTTCTAAAAGAAAACTGTTTTAAAAAAAGTTTTGTCATTGTTCATGAGGAAAAGAAATAAAGTAGGAAAACGTTTCTGTAGTTGTGGTGCAGGTTCTGTTAGCCGCCCAAAGCTTATAAACTTTAAAACTAGCTCAAAATAATTTAGACAAAAAAAACACTTCTGGTCTTGTCAAAAAGTCCCGCTTGGAAAATAATTTAAATCATAAATAGTTATTTGAACAAGACGAGGAGGCAATTAGTTGAGTTTCTTAATCTTCTAATGCAAAAACAAAAGAATAAAACTAAAGTTCAAACTGGATCCTAACAAGAAAGGAAAATGGAAGCTGCAATTTCTTCTGCATGCCGTTTACCATGCAATGTTTTATTTTGTTGAGTTTTAATGATAAAAGGTTGAAGAAATAGTTTTAAAAAGCCTTTATCCTAAATCTTAACTTTAAGGTCCAGTGCGTAATTAATACAAAGTTTATGAAGAAGATTCAGATTGTTTAGATTGAAAAATAAATGTGTGCATCCAACACAGGATGAGTGAAATCCATTTTCTATTTTTTTTTTTTTATTTCCTGCAGCTGTATAACTTTTAAAAATGTTAATATAAACACGTGAAAGTCACGGGAAGTAAAATTCAGAGTTAGTTCAGGAGGACTCCACAGTTTTCCTCTGTGCGTAAAGTCTCTCGTGTCCTGCGTGAAGCTCAACCGGTGTCAGGAGCCGCAGAAAACTTCAGCCTCCACTTCTCCAGCTGGTCTGTGGGACTTTCAGGACGTCTTACTTGTGACAGCAAAGAATGAACTGCACGTGATGGCTATTTCCGTAAGGTTAATGGGTTTACATTCTCAGTCATACAGAACAAATAGGCTACCGTGCAACATGGAGGGGCTGGGGGAGGGGGGGTGGACGAGAGAGGAGAGGGGGGTTTATTTATGAATGAAAAAGTGCCGCTGAAGAGACCCTGGAAGAAAAGCCAGTGTAATGTTAAAGACTGCAGTCTACCTGATGTTCACTGCCCCCCCCCCCCCCCCCCGCCCCATTCATTCATTCATTCACTCAGCTCTGCTCGGTGGCCCCTAAAGTTCCTGGTCCCCCATGCTCCATGAGGCGAGGAGGGGGACCCAGGATGCTTGTTGGATGGTCCGCATGCCTCGTGCACCTGTCTCGCGTTTATGAGGGAGGGAGGAACAAGTGGGAGAGGAAGAAGACAGAGAGAGAAAGAGAGGGAGAGAGAAAGAGAGAAACAGGTGGAAAGCACTTGCTGCCGAGTGAACTCGGTGTTTGTTCAAGGAGAGCAGGTTCCTTTTTACGGGTCTTCACAAAGCGCAGAGCTGCCACCACCACACCAAAATCTATCTGCAGAATCATCCTTGTTATGTGTTTCAAATATTCGTCCATGCAAATATAGAAAAGGGTAGACAGAATAACCCTGCAGAGATGCAAGGTGCATTCTTCCCCCCCAAAAAAGCATTTCCAATTAGTTAGAGCTGCTGTGAATCAATTTCTCCAAATCGTATTCATCTCCCTTTAAAGCATCTGCAGCTACAAAAACCTGTGGCATATTTTATTTGTACATCGTATTATATAACATGTAAGTCAAATGATTAAAGAAGAAAAGCCCAGCTTCGCCCTGCAGGTGTTTTTCCACCTAAATTCCGAGTTCATTCCAAGCGCGAGGGAAACAATTTCTGTTATGTCCCTGGGTCCAGCTTGCAACTTTAATTATAGTGTGAAGAGGTCAGTCATACGCGGCCACTCGACCCCTCTCCCTGTGTGGCATCGCGCCCTGTGCAGTTTAACTCGCCAAAATAGTGCCGGACTCCCTTTCACCCCCTCCACCTCCCTGCAGATGCACCTGAGTTGTTTTTACCCCCCAGTCGCGGATATGTCGTGAATTTGTCACTTATCAGGGGGGGGGCGGCCTGTCCGAGGCCATTTCGGGCGCAGTAACTTTCCCAGATGGTTTTGAGCCATGCCAACTTTGTGCGTCTCTCAGCAGCGAGGTGAACAGGCCGCGTGCCTGTTGCTTCTCCAGAAATGTCCCTCAGGCCTTTTAATGGAGACTAATTAAAACATGATAAACACGCAGCTTCAGTGCGTCTGTGACATTGTTGGAGGAGGTGACACATCCCTTATAGGTCCGTGTGTGTCCGTGTGTGTGTGTGACCTTAAACACTTTTGTTGGAAGTGGCTGTGGAGTTGTGGGATTTCAGGATTTCATAGCAACACAACAGGTGTCTGAGGTTTAGACTTTCCGGGATGCATATTGACAGAATGACTGAATCCCTGTTTTGAATATTTAATGTTATAGATGAGTGTTCCATTGGCACAATTAAAGCAAATGGAGCTTATCTTAAAATCAGTGAGTTGAGTTTAGTTGAATTAATTGAATGAGCATATTTAAACCTCTCATCATTTATAGAAAACTAAGGAACCAGGATGAATATTGAACTGTGGTGTAATTTCTTTTGCTTTTCCCTGTTTGTTAGTTGGTGCATGAGTTTTTGTCTGTAAATTCTCACCTTGATTTATTCCATTACCTTTAATTCAGTTATTATTATTAGTTTTAGCCCCTGGTCGATTTACAGAGTCTGATCGTGGCTTTCTAAGATTCACTGGGTGCTTTTGAAGGATTTGTCTGCATAATGTGCCATCACCTGAGGTTGATGCTGTCATTTTTGTTATTGTCCTGCAGAGGAAGAAGGGGAACGAGCAGGAATGGCACAGAAGGCTGAACATGCTGACTGAACTGATAAATCCCACTGAGACCTGGACTGTTGTTTTACGCTCTTAAAGATGCTGCTGTCTCTTTTCTGTGTGTGTTTCAATGTAGACATTTTTAGTTTCCACTGAAGGGCCAAGAAATCCCAGCTAGTAAATGAAGAAAGGGGGCGAGTGGATCATTTCACCCTCAGATGAGACAGGAGGCAGAGGGCGGCCCTCGACAGCCATTTGAATGGGATCTGAGAGGTAATTTGAACTAAAATGGAGTCCACTTCTGAGCCACTCACTCAGCCCCCCATGGCATCCACTGAAATTCATTATTCCTGGCCAGCACAGGGAGAGGCAATGAGTGAGGGCAGAGGACAGGAGTGGACCCAGCTCTGGTGTAATGAAGACTCAGTAGACCTAAACGAGACACACACACACACACACGCACACACGCTCACGCTCTTTCATTATATATCACACAGAGCAGGACATTAATGCCACTGAAGACCTTTTGGCAGAGAAATAAGAGTGTGCAATGATTTTCTCCACACTCAATCCATTTCATTGACCTTTTCCATCATGCATGTGACTCTGCCCCGCTCGCTGCAGTCAGAGATAAATATTCCAAGAATAATATCCCTGCCACCGTTTAATAAATTATCCTCCTGAATCTGAATTTTCAAGTTCATCGCTGGGTTTTAAGAGGCTGTAGGAAAATTTTATAATTTTCTACTTTTCCCCCTCTTTTGTGCACCTTTTGCATTCACATACTTAATGATGTGTTTTTAAACTTATGCACCGTGTTATCTCAGATTAGTTGAATACATTCTACCTGTGTGTTGTTGTCTAAAGTCTCAGGAGATTAATGTTTAAATGTAGTGGGATGAGAAGGTAAAACCTGCTTTTGCAAGATTAGACACTGCAGGACGTTGCTTTTCCTTGAGCTTCCACTAGGAGTCCATAGTAATAAGGTGCAGACAGGCTGAGAGGATAAACACTGTCATCTGGTGGTAACAAAAACCATCACTACTTAGTGGTCAGCACTGTGATCACTGCATGGTTTAACCTGCATCTTTATGTCTTCTCATTCACCTTTTATGCATCTGTTTTTACTTTCCAGCTGTTTGGATTCAACTCAACTCCGAGAGCCAAACATCTGTTCATCACTGGAGTTAAAGCAGATACTTGTCAGGATGTTTGATGTGACGGAACACGAGAGACAATAAATGTTTGGGACATTTACTTTCAGAGGGAGAAGTGTCATCTGCATCCAGCCAGGAACAGAGCCAGCAATGATGAAGGAGTATTCAGGTACTTTTCCTAAGTACCAGTACCCAATGTGAACGTACTTCACTACAAGGGAAAGTCCTGCGTTCAAAGTTGTATTTTTAAAGTTAATGTAGCAATAAATAAATGTAGAGCTGAGTCAAACTGAAGCTCCAGATTCTTGTTCTGTCATATTCCTGTAATACTTTGCTACCAGATTCTGTTGAATTCTATTACCTGCACCAAGCAGGTTATATTTTAATTTCTGTTTGTCTCCCAGCAGGTTTACTCCTAACTACTTATAGTGGGGTGGGGCGTGACTCCAGGAAGAACCAATTAAATTTTGGAGCGGATCCGGACAAATGGACGGCTCCAGGAAGTTTTTCTCATTTCCTTGAACGTGATAAGGCGTCAGGCTAAGTGGAGGTATGGTCTCTCTGAGCGTCTTCTATTCTCATTGTAATGATTATATGAACATGTATTAAATTATTATGATATATATAGCTCATGTATATGCATGCTGTTTTCACATTATGCTTCATTATATTCATTATTAATGCATTTGCAACCATGCACGGTTATTCATTCCAATTATAATGTATTTTTACTCTCACCACTCATGTATGTAGTGGTTAGAATACAGCTTTCTTACTTTGTTGTCGATATTCAGTCTGTGATGTGGGTCATGAATTTCCCCCCTGGGACGAATAAAGTTTGATCTTTAAAGAAAGATGGGATTCGAAAGACATTAAAGTAAATAACATCAAACGGACATATCTGTGTGTGGAGTTGTTAAATGTTCACGTCACTGTCTTCACTGCATCAGATTAGAGACTAAACCACAGAAATTCTAAAGGAGCGATCAATGACAGAGGAGGTGCTGCGAGGGGACAACATTGAACTGCCGACCAGTCGAACCTATAGATGGTGCAAATCGATAGATCAGATGGTCCCAGGCCTGTCTTCTCTCCGCTTGATGAGAGGACAGACAGAGGAAGAGGATGAGAGTGAGAAAAGAGGAAGGGGGGGGGGGGTGTTTTGGCAGAAAGAAGGTGCTCTAATGGAGTCTTTCAGTTCACTGTGGCTGGAAATGAAAGGAGGTTGAAGCTCGGCCAGTTATTCAGCCTGAGAAGAGGAGGAGACCGAGGGAGAGAGAGAGCGTGTGGCGCTGGATCACTGCCATGATAGACAGATACTAGAGATAGATAAATACTAGAGATGGATAAATACTAAAGATGGATAAATACTAGAGATATATAAATAAATACTAGAGATGAAAAGAGATATTATAGATAAATACTATAGATAGACTGAGATGGATACTATAGATAGATACTATAAATACTATATATATATAGATAGATAGATTGGTACTTGATATAGAGAGGTCGTAGATAACTGTATAGATACTATAGATAGATTGGTACTTTTTAGATACTATAGATAGATACTAGATAGACACACAAAGAGACAGTGTAGATAGTAACAGATACATAGACGTTTGTGTTCTGACCCCAGGATGAGGGTCTGATTCAGAGTAGCCCACAGATATTGGCCCCACTCCCAGAAATTTCCCCCAGTGCAAAAGGTTAACTGTCAGCCCCCTGCTGGGTATAAATAGAAGTCTGCCGTCCAGAGAGGCGTGTTCTGAGAGGGGGTAGACAGAGGAGGACGAGGAGGAGGAGGAGGAGGAAGGGTTCCGCCTGATCGTGATGACACATCCAGGGGCACACAGGCTACTTTCAGGGGTTGTGTGGTGGAGGGGGGGCGGGGAGGGGTCCTGCTAGGGAGGAGGAAGATGCAGCCTAGGACATTATAATGGAGACTGGAGACTGACAGAGAGGCCCCCGGACAAAAGAGCGTCCTCATCTATTCAACTTGGCTGTGACAGCAGACACAACAAATACCAGCATCAGCACCCTGGAAAGATCCCGTCCAATTGAGCTGCTGCTGAAACTGACAACCAGGAAAAATAGGGTGAGGGTGCTGTTGTTTCCCTGAAGCTGCTGAGACGTGTAATTAGGCTTCTGTTTAGTAATCAAGTGCAGAATAAACGTCTGAAACCCAGTTGAAAGATACACGTTGGTATAAGGTTAATACGACAGGAAGCTTTTCTGTCTTCTGGTTTTGACGATCAGGAGACCGAGGCCCAGCAGCCCCTTTAAATTAAAACAAGCCTCATAGCTGAGGCCACAAAGTCCCACATTGTACACACACATTGATATTGCCCCCCCCCCCCCACTATATAAAAATAATTGAATACTTATCGCCTATTTTAATGCATCTATGTGCATCATTTTCTCTGTCACTCAAACTGTCGGCATCAGGAGCAAATAGGGATTCTGTAATTTGCCCAATGACGACACAGCAAGACGCCTGCAGAATGTGCGATAATAATAATACCAATAAAACAACTTTATTTGTAAAGCACTTCATAA